CACACTGATGCAGTGTGGAATTCACAGCGTTTTCAGTACGAATTCTGCACCGAATCAAAATTGCACCTCGTTCATGCAAAACCGCTGCGAGTGTATGTTAACCCCTTGGCGCTGGCGCCTCCCGGTCTTTTAAGGGTTTCAGAAGCCGGGAGGTGGGGCGGGGTTTAGGGTCATGTGACCGCCGTGACACGCTGTCCCTGCGGTCACATGATCGGGAAAGGACCCGATCAAAAGAGGAGATCGGGACCTTTCCGTGAGTACTGGACATGTGTGCTGGGAGCACGCAGGGGGCGCGCTCTCAGCACATATGTTCTTTTTTTTTAATAGAACGCAAATGTGCGGCCACTCGGCGTCTAGTCCCAGGTGCCGGGAGGCCGCCCATTTGCGTTCGGCCGGCGTGAAGAGGTTAAGTTAACAACACCCCGAAAGCGGTCCACAAATCGTGGTGCGATGTGCAGGCGTAAATTTCCATGCGATCCGATTCTAGTGCGGACCAAAAAAAGGGTCCTGCAAAATGTATGGCTCCAATCACACCGTACACAAATCGTATGTGATTCGCACAGGAATGCGTGTGCGGTTCCTGTGCGAATCACATGCGATATACCGCACCGCATATATGTGAACCTAGGCTAAGTCTACAGACCAGTAACGGGTGCTCTGAACTTCCTACCCCTCTCTCTGGTGTTTTTTGGGAGTGAGCAATAAACTTCCTTTTTGTTTTTACCTAAACGTACTGGCCGCCCATTTGTTCTCATGTCCCACTATGCCTCGCCCCTGAGGGGAAATGTCAACCCACCCTGTCTCTGGGGGTTACCAACATTCCTCTGGGGGTCAAGGGTGCTACATAGAATGGATAAAACCTGTAAACTTTCAAAATTTTGCATTTTTTTTTTTTTTTCAGATTTTCAGGTGTTTTTAAGCCCCTGTAGGAACCACAAAAACACCTGAAGCTGGAATAACCATGTAAAATGCTTGGAATATGCTTTTGAAAACTCTTGTATATGAGAACAACAAAAACACAAAATAATGCGAAAATAAAAACATCTACAAATGGCTCTGCTTAGGCGTGAATGCAAGTGATTTGTAATGCAGGTGTTTTATATGAGTAGATACACACAGTTGCACAATTGTTCATTATTTATTATTTGTTTTCTTTGGACAGGGTTTGTATTAACAGTCACATAAAAGGCTTAGGTCTATGGTAGTCCCTATAATGAGGATGGTGATGGAGATGATTGTGTGAATAGCATGTCTATGCTTTTATCTCTATTATATCTATGAAGGCAGCCATGGTTGTCACACCGGCTGAATGTCAAACAGGTCTGCCTTTAATTATCTCCATTCCATGGTGGATTGATGTGATTAGTAGTTTACACTATAAAGACAAAGTTCTCTGTGCTTTGTTTTATGTTCACGGGAAATGGCAAGGACATGGCATTTCCGGCAAGATCAACAATATTTTTTTTGTATCTTTTAAAAATGTTCGTAACCCTTTGGCGCTCACCGGCTCCTGGTCCTTTAAGGGGTTCTAGAAGCCAGGAGGCAGAGGCAGGCATTCGGGTCATTTTACCGCTGTGATTGGCTATCAGCTCCCAATGGCAAGTGTAGCACTACCCCCTTAGGAGTCACTAGAAAATTTGGTCCCCCTATATTCCTGTGCAGCCAGGCATCACACATCTTCACCAAGACTTGCATCCAGTGTCAGAGATCAATCCATGAGCTTTGGTTTTGTTGTTTTTATTTAGGGGATTTGATCTGGGATAGGGTTAGGGGTGTACAGGATGTCCATTGGCTTTTTCATAGGCTTTTTTGGGTGTGGGCGAGGACACAGGGGCCCCATGATCCCCTATTGTCCGTGGGCCCCAGGAGTTGTCAGTCCGCCCCTGCACCTTAGTGTACCACCTCACACTCTAGATGAACTCTTCTTCTTCACCCAGCAATCTGGAGGTATCCCTGAACAGGGGATCTGGTGTCTGTTACTTTAAAACTGGACAGTCCCAAATAGGCAAAGAATCTGGTTTACCACCAGAGTGCTCCTTCCCCTATCTACCCAGGGGGTGCAGCGGTACTCACTCAGATCCTCTCCTGTGCCTCTAATGGGTTGGTGGCTGCTACCAGGCCTTTTAGCTGGGCCACACCTTCCCTGCTACACAGGTGGCCCTGGCATCTGGGGGCTAGTGAGCTCTGAGCTTTCCTCTTTTCCAGCTCCAGGCCTGCAGGTAGGCCCTTTCCCACGGGCCCTCTTGCAGCCTTTTGCCTTCAGCCTCATGTCTTCCTCACTATCTTCCACCTGAACTCTCCTGCCACTGAGCAGGCTCCAACACTTTTAAGGGTGTACCAGCTCCTTGCCATGCCTTCTGTTGGGAACTGGCTAGGATCCCTCAAGAGTGCAAGCCAGCCACTCCTCAGATCCACCCATTGTCTCTAGACCTTCCTCCAAAGCCTTAGAGCAAGGGGAAATTGCAGAGGAGCTGCCATGCAGAGCCACTCAGCTCCTGCCCACAATTTGACCCTCCTCTCTATCAATTGAACACTAGCTTCCCCTAGCTCAGTGGTCGGCAAGCCGCGGCTCGCGAGCCACATGCGGCTCTTTACCCACTCTAATGCGGCTCTTCTGTGTGCCGGGCGCCCGCTCCCCTCCCTCCTCTCGGTCGGCCGCTCCCCTGCCCTGCCTCCTCTCGGTTGGCAGCCCCAAAAGTCCGCGCGGACCTTTTAATCCGGCCCGCGGATGTGGCTGTCAGGATGTGTGTAGGCGGGGCAGCGTGCCGAACGTGAGGGGAGGGGAGCTAGGCTCCTCTCACAGTCCGCCCTGAAGACCCGAACGGCGCGGGAAGACAGCGAGAGGAACGCAAAAGGTAAGTGAATTGACACGGGGGACTTGGCTTACTAGAAGAGGGGGAGGGGGGGGGAATAGTACTGTGGGGGATGAAATACTATATGGGGGATGAAATACTATATGGGGGATGAAATACTATATGGGGGGATGAAATACTATATGGGGGATGAAATACTATATGGGGGATGAATTACTATATGGGGGATGAATTACTATATGGGGGGATGAAATACTTTATGAGGGATGAAATACTATATGAGGGATGAAATACTATATGGGGGGATGAAATACTATATGAGGGATGAAATACTATATGGGGGGATGAAATACTATATGAGGGATGAATTACTATATGAGGGATGAATTACTATATGAGGGATGAAATACTATATGAGGGATGAAATACTATATGAGGGATGAAATACTATATGAGGGATGAAATACTATATGGGGGGATGAAATACTATATGAGGGATGAATTACTATATGGGGGATGAATTACTATATGGGGGATGAATTACTATATGGGGGATGAAATACTATACGAGGGAAGAAATACTATACGGGGGATGAAATACTATACGAGGGAAGAAATACTATACGGGGGATGAATTGCTATGGGGGATGAATTACTATATGGGGGGATGAATTACTATGGGGGATGAATTACTATGGGGGATGAATTACTATATGGGGGATGAATTACTATATGGGGGGATAAATACTATATGGGGGGATGAAATACTATATGAGGGATGAAATACTATATGGGGGGATGAAAATACTATATGAGGGATGAAATTACTATATGAGGGATGAATTACTATATGGGGGATGAATTACTATATGGGGGATGAAATACTATATGAGGGATGAATTACTATATGAGGGATGAATTACTATATGAGGGATGAAATACTATATGAGGGATGAAATACTATATGGGGGATGAAATACTATATGAGGGATGAATTACTATATGAGGGATGAATTACTATATGGGGGATGAATTACTATATGGGGGATGAATTACTATATGGGGGATGAAATACTATACGAGGGAAGAAATACTATACGGGGGATGAAATACTATACGGGGGATGAATTGCTATGGGGGATGAATTACTATATGGGGGATGAATTACTATGGGGGATGAATTACTATATGGGGGATGAATTACTATGGGGGATGAATTACTATATGGGGGATGAATTACTATATGGAGGATGAATTACTATATGGGGGATGAATTACTATGGGGGATGAATTACGATGGGTATGAAATTACACTATGGGGTATGAATTACACTATGGGGGATGAATTACTATATGGGGGAATTACTACTATGGGAGATGTATTTTCAGTTTTAAAAATGTGGCTCTCAAAATAAATTTCAATCATGGTTTTGGCGAGATTTGGCTCAGTTGAAAAAAAAGGTTGCCCACCACTGCCCTAGCTAACTAGGAGAGCACTACACAAGTATGCATCAGAAGATGACTGATCCCCATCGGCTAACGTGCTGAGAGTGTGCAGGGAGCATAGTAAGTAGTTTTAACAGGGTCACAAATATGTATACAGTGTATGGCCAGCTTTAGTCTGAAAAAAAAAATGAATGGTGGTCATACATGGTGCGATAAAGCTGAATGTTCAATGTCTGATTTGACAAAATGATCACTGAGAGTTGGACAGTGAGATGTAAATGGCATGGGCAAGCAATGAGCAACTAATGATGATTTAATTGTCTGATCAATGGCGTTTTCACCCCCCCTGTGAGCCACTTACGATTGATCTACATGTAAGGGCGTGAAAAACACCATTGATTGACCATGTTCAATAGATTTTTTTCGCCATAGCCAATCTACTTGGGTCGAATTAAATCATCACTATAAGTTGCCCATCATTCCACCTTGCCATTTTATGTCTTGCTCAATGGTTTTGCTAAATCTGACATTGATTGTTCAGTATTAACGCACCATGTATGACCACTGTAATGTAGCCATCATAGATAAGATCTGGTAAGCTGCAATAAATTACATTGTTTCTTTTGAGTTTCAATACACTTTTAGGCTTAATTTTATATTCGCCTTGATAAAGTGGAGAAGAATCAGAATCAAGATTTATTGTGAAATGTGGCCCCTTTTGAGGGTGTTCCTCAAACTGGGTGTCACTGGGACAGGGATTGCTTGGAATCACCCCAAAGGGGACACAGACAGTAACCCTGAAAGAGATGACAGAAATTCTAACCCTTCCTTACTCTACCCAATACAAAAAAAGAGCTGTGTTTTAAAATCTGGACTGTGTGGAAAATAACTTTAACCTCTTTGTGGCCGCTCCCAGCACACATGTCCGGTACTCATGGGAAAAGTCCCGATCTCTTTCGATTGGGATCTTTCCTGATCATGTGACCACCGTGACAGTGAATCACGGTGGTCACATGACCCTAGAACCCTGCCCGACTCCCGGCTTCTGAAACCCTTAAAGGGTTCATTTAAATGTATTTCTCAAAAGCCACAAAAGATATAAATCCACTGTCTGTGCACCTAATGCCTTTGTGGTCCCCATATAAAGGTAGCAGTAATGTCATTAATGTGCTGTACAAAGCCTGTGCAAAGAGCAGAGCTGTGGGAGGGACCAAGCTGGCCCCACCCACTACAGGCTGCCTGCAAAAAACTACAGAAGGGGCGGAAACAAGACCAGTCAACCTGCACAAGAAAAGAAAGCAGCAGTGACTGGTCTTTGCTACAGGAAGCTCCTGCACAGAGGTAAAGGTTCACATTGGATTAGATCTGGAAGAAATACACACAAAGTACACCAAGAATCAAGGAAGAATACACATGATGAATGTATGTAGACAATATTTGCTGATCCAGGAGTTCAGCTTTAAGATTTTAAGAGATTTATAGCTTTTGTCACTTGCTACAAGCATGATTGTGGTATGTGTACAGTGTTGTCTTTTGTCCTCTCTGTGTATTGTAATACAGATGTGCATATGTAGCTTGTATTATACACAGAGCGGTTGTATACTGTATACTATGCTGGGGATATGTGTGTATGGCAGCGTGCAGGGGATTGAGCTACATTTTACGTGTGATGGTATAACCACATCCTGCTTCTCATGTAATAAAACTGGCTGTCTGCACAAACATGTCTCTCATATAGAGGTGCGATGCTCTGACTTAGTTTTGAAAGATGCCTATACACAGTCATCCTCTGACACCCCATCAAAGACCATTGGGAGAAAGATGCAATCAAAAAATATTCTGTCTGCTTTGGATTTTCAAGTATTTAAAATTCAGTTTCAGTTTAATTCAGGGTAAATACCTGGTGATCCTGTCTTGTTTAAAGAATATGTAAACCCAACTTTTTATATTCTTGATATGTGCCTACTGTACCATGTGCTTCTATGAAAAAGTACCCTGTTCTCTTTGTATTGCTTTATTGTGTGAAATCCCTGTTGTTCCTGCCAGTCCCTCTGCTTTCCTATTAAAAACTGACCAGACTAGGCATGAGAACGCAGTGTGGTCAGTCTCTAGCTGTGCTGAAAACACAGCCTGCTCCAATGATCATACTTGTCCTGACATGCCCCCCTGCACAGCAATACACTGGAAAGATCAGTGTACTGTAGTTTCTCTAGCCTCACCTCTATGCAGCTGAGAACAGAGGGTATGTGGGCACTTAAAAAAAAAAAGGGAAAAAAGGTATTTATAATGTTTTTAATATCTATATGCAAATTTTTAACTTTCATTTCTATTTTAAACTGTATGGGTTGTTTTATACTTGAAAGCAAGCTCCACCCAAAAGGACTTGTCCCCCACTCCCTGTTAAGGATTGGCACCTTTGAAGAGAGGGGGAGGGGGGAACAGGTACCTGATTTTGACAAGTACCCACTTCCACTCAGACTGCCTGGGTAAATGAAAGCTGAAGTTCACCTCCCCAAGCCCCCGCAGTCTTCTGGTACATGTGACAGGTCCCAGAAGATTGCAGGACCATTCACAATGTGAAGCGTTACTCATGCAAGCACAGTGGGTACCCGGCTGTGATGTGAAAAATGTTCACTATACTGAGCAGCTGGAGGTTCATTCAGCCAAACACCCATTTGTTCCCCGTAGACCATACACAGTACAGAACTTTTCCTCATATAATTTCCCCTGCTGGTCGAATGTTCTTTACCTATTACCTCTCATGTTTGAATGTTCTTGAGTTAATTTTCTCTTAGGAATGAATGTCAGGGGTTGTTACATTTGCCCAATGAAAGGCTACAGAGGAAACTACTACGCACGTATCACAAACATTACAGGAATGATTCATTATGCTCGCATGGATGTTGAAACATTTGCAAAGCACATTTTTTATAAATAAACCCCATAGTGCAGGTATGCCCCATCATAGTCCATCCTGAGCAATGATGCACAGTCTACACTGGAGAGAACAGTGCATGTAGACAGGAAGTGCAGGACATCAACAGCCCAACAGATGCAAAAATGGTTAAAAAAAAGGGTGACAATGGTATTATATGAAAAAAAAGGCAAGTGTTTATTATTGTTATACAGGATTTATATAGCGCCAACAGTTTTCTCAGCGCCAGGGGTGGACTGACCATTTGGGAACTCGGGCACTGCCCGTGGGCCCGGAGTCAGCAGGGGGCCCCATGAGATGCCCCTGGTACCTTTCATAGGCTTTTTTGGGTGTGGTTTGAATTTGGGCAAGGACATAGGGGCCCCATGATCCCCTATTGCCCGTGGGCCCCATGAGTTGTCAGTCTGCCCCTGCTCAGCACTTTACAATATAACGGGAGACAATACAGCAACAATACAGTTCAATACAAGAGGTTTAGGAGGGCCCTGATCCTTGGAGCTTACAATCTAAGTGTTTATAATACACAGATCCATCTGAGAACCTTAAATGTTGGATATACACCCTAAAAAATGTTTTAAAAAATATCTGAATTTCTAGGACGTATCTCTTAATCCTGAATCTATCCCCTGCTGCTTCTCCCACCATCACAAATAATGTTAATTTTGAGCTGTTGAAAATGACAGATCGGAATTGGTAAATATTTTCATAGAAGGAGTGACTGTCAAAATGCAATTATCTCTGTGAATAATGGCACCTTCAGAACATTTTCAAGCTTTGTTGAGTAAGTGCAGTTTAACAATTTATTGATTTATTGTATTTGCTATTTTATTCATCTGTAGATCAAATGTACAATCTTTTATCAGCATATGACATCAGTTGGGCAGCACAATGGCTAAATGGTTAGCACTTCCACTGGGCAATACTGGTTCAATCAAATCCCAATCATGGCACCACCTGCCTGGAGTTTGCATGTTCTGCCTGTGTGGGTTTCCTCCGGGTACTCTGGTTTCCTCCCACACTCCAAAGACATGCTGGTAGGTTAATTGGCTCCTGTCTAAATTGGCCCTAGTATGTGTATGTATGGATGTGAGTTAGGAACCTTAGACTGCACGCCCCTTAGTTAGGGACCGATGTGAATGTACAATATATATGTAAAAGCACTGCGTAAATTGATGGTGCTATATAAGTACCTGAAATAAATAAATAGTTAAAGAAACCTTATAAGTAAATAAATATATTCATATTTAACACCTTATTATTCTTAGTTAACCCTAACCATTCCTCATTAACTCCTTCCACCCCTCTCCCCTTAGCTATTATTTTTCTGCTTATTTCTTTTTCCTTTTGTTTATTTTTCAGTGTTACATAAAACTTTGTATTGTAATATTTATGTATCACTTCCCTCTTAAGGGTCGCTGAGTTATTTTTGGGCTCCCTGTCACTCTTGACCCCACTCTGAAAGCCCAACCCCTGCTGACACCACCGTACACTGCTGGTCAGAGTAAACCTACTCAATATTACCGTAAAATAGACTCACACATCATTTAGGGGGGGGGGGGGGTCAGCAACCAGTGGATTGTGATCTACCAGTAGATCTTGGCCTGGTGACTGGTAGATCTCGGTCAGGGCTTGCTGACCCACCATCCCAGAGCATCGAACAGGGGTGGTGTTTTTTTTTTTTTTTTTTTTTTTAAAGTGTGATATCTGCAGTGGCACACTCTCTGATCAGCCCCCCACCCAGCCCAGTACAGTACCCCACTCCCACCCCTGCTCAGCCCTGCACATGCACACAAGTTGGGGGCAGGCAGGCCACACTATGAGCTGCTGGGTGAAAACGGTGGGCTTGTATGTGGATCTGGAAGTCAGAGGGCCTGATGAGTTTCCTCCTTTACATACAAACCTACCACTTTCACCCGACAGCTCAGATTGTGGCCTGCCTGCCCCAACTTGTGTGCACATGCAGACGGTAGCAGGAGAGAAGAGAGAGACAGCCACCATCCAGCTATTAGATTTTGGTGTGCGGTGGGAGCATCTTGGCGCACGGTAGAGGTAGTGGGGGGCCCCAGGTCAACTTTTGCATCGGGGCCCACAAGCTTCAAGCTATGCCTCTGGATCCCAGGTACTTTCCTTCTCAGTTCAGGACTATAGTTTTATACTGGTTTTACTGCATATGATGGAGCTCCGTGAAGCTTATTTAGTCCTTCTTCTAATTTGAGGTCATGTCTTGTGTTATTGATCTTAGTTTTATATTGAAAATACTGCCTTCCCGAACCTTGGTTTTAATTTTGTCTCTTTTTATTCTTTCCTCAAGACTGTACTTGCATTTTCTGATATGTTTTAATACTAAAGCTGGACTTAAAGGCCCCTTTCACACGAGCGGACCCGATCGGTCCATCCATAGACTTCTATGGACCAATAGTCTGCTGACATCCACCGGCATTCGATCCGATCCTGTATGCCAAAAACAGACAGATGGGGATCTATTCCCCATCTGTCCAGCGGATCGGATCAGATGACAATTGGGTGGAAACAGACAGGCGGTCCGTTTTCATCCGACCATCCCATTGAAATCAGCAGGCAGTGTCTGTGTTTGTTCTGCAGCAGCAGAGCAGACAGAGACCTGTCATCCGCCTGCTCAGCGGAGATCAGTGGGGAGATCCCCCACTGAGCAGGCAGAAAGGGGCCAAAGGCATCAAAATTTGTCCAGTTCAGATAACTAAAGATCTATATAGGGGCTCAGGACCTTCTTCCTCATGATGGTCTAGTGATAAAGATCTATATAGAGGAATCAGGACCTCCATTCTCCTGCCGGTGACCCCTCTAGTGAAAAAATAAATATCTATATAGAGAAATCAGGACTTT